TTCGAAGTTTCTCAAGAACCATTCGAGCCACAGAATTCGTTTTGGCATCGTTGAATAGAGAATTGAAAACTCGATTCAGTCGTAACAATGTGAGTGAGAAAATTCGAGTAGTTTTGACCCAGAAAACAAAATTTGAATGTCACACACTTAGGTGCAAGATATTTGCCAAAATTCCATGTTTTCCGTCCCGTTTTTGCTCATATCTCGGAGGCAAAATGAGCAAGAACGCTTATTTGTACATCATTCTAGAGAGAAATAAATGGCCTTTTTAGAAAGTGAACCATGAATGGGAAAATATTGGCAGTTTTCTCAAAAAATGCTTGAATTCAAGAAGTTTTAGATTCGCGTGGTTTTTGTTTGAGTTGCAAAATCCACTTGAACATGACGCTGCTTTTTTCGATGTTTCTCAAGAACCATTTGAGCTAGATAATTCGTTTTGGCACCGTTGGATAGAGAATTTTATGGGGGGTTTATGACCCGCATGACCCCCCCTTGGAGCCGCCCTTGATTCTACCCCCAAATCTACGTCGTTGGTATCTGCAAAAAGTTACCTCAAGTCGAATAAAACGCTCTAAGTATGGCTAAAACATATGGAAGAGCTCAGTTCTCTATCCTAAATGGTTCGGAAAAAAATGAAGATAAAGCGAAAAAAGTGATGAAGAATTTGTCACTAAAATCATCCTATATTAAAAACGTATGAAAATTAAAAATCCAGTATTCATTAAATCCAAAATCAATTGAACCAATAAGCAAAGCACTTCAGCAACTCAAATTGCTCAAATTTTACTTTTTTTCACACTTTCACTCGTTGAAACTCTCGAAAGGCGAACACCGAAAACGGCCACTCGGTAAATAAAATTAAAGTGAGCTCTGAAATTTAAAAAATCCATTCCATCATGCGGCATTGCACTACATACGGAAGATGAGGAATAAATCAGACACTAATGAAAGTTAAAAACTTCCATGCATGCAACACAGTATAATATAAAAGTATAAAACTACAGAAATTATAAACTACGCATAAATGAACAGTCATTATCATCCAAAAATGATTATTCATCAACCAAACTTAGAATCAGTTCTTCGACTTTGAAAGGCTGTTGAGCCAGGACAAGGTTTTTCCAATCAAATTCATCTCCTTTTGGATAACATCGTTACTTCGACCTCCGAAGAACTTCTTCGACTCATCAGCAAACAGTTTTCCATTACTATCCTCATACTTTTCTATTTCATTGTTCAAAGTTTTCAGCTCGTTTTCCAGTGCCTTAATTTTGGAATTTTGGATCACATCGGGCATTTGCAGTAAATTGTCGTTTATATCAGAGAACCGGTTTTGAAGCTTTGGAATGTCTGGTAAGGAAGATTTCAAGTTCTCTTTAATTCTATCAGCTATAGCTAACGGATTTTGAGTGGGAAATAGTTTGGCTAATTTCCGCGTGTCTTCTGAAAGGTGATTTTTCAGCTTGTTCAGCCTATTTTGCTGTTCAATACTTTGCTTCATAGCTTTAGCCTGGTTTTCAATTCCCTTCAAACCCAGTTGAGGGGACAAATACGGCGATTGTGCTTGTCGCAAGAGCTTCTTCAAAGTTTTCTCCTTTTCCAGCTTTTGGATATATTCTTCAGCTGCCAGCAATGGATTTTGAGTTGGGAGGCTTAAACTCGTCATCTCTTGGGTCTTCTGAAGCTGCTTCACACTTTGATCACTCAAGTCTTTGAAAGCTTGTAGCTGAGTTTCCAGAGCTTTTGCTGACAAGGCTGGATCGATCCCATGTGTAGCACTTAAAGTATTCAAAACTTCTTTATTTAGAACGTCAGCATTTTCTTTCATATGCTGTAGAGAATCACCAAATTCTCTTCGCAACTGGTTATCAAGCTTGGATAGGTCGGAAGCAATCTCTTGTAGTGTGGGCATCTTGGGCAATAAAGCACCGGCTTGATGGTTACTGAGCTCTTTTGCGCCTTCCAAACGATTTTTGCCTGCTGCGTCCGAAGATCTTTTGAAAACCGCTGGCTTTGTGTGGATATTTTCCAAATCCACTGCTTCAACATCTTTGAGCTGGCTTTCGAGCTCAGCTTCCTTTCTCAGAATTGTTCCTAGTGCTTCTTCAACTTCAGCGTGGTTTTTTGGACATGATGAGTTCTGGCATGAGCACAACTTCTCCATATCGACTGAAAGTACCAATGAGTCGTTTCCACTGAGTTCAATTTTCATTGGTAATTTTACGCCGTTTCCGCTAAAGTAGATGTCTTCAGGATTTGAGGAATATTGAATGATTTTTCCCAGGTTTCCTTGCCAGTCGTTTTCTTTCCCTTCATTCTGCAACAACAAATCACACTACTGGGCAAAAGATTCAATTTAATTAGGTTTACTTACATCAAAGCTGGCTCTACTTTCCATTGGGGTTAGGGGTGGCATTTCACCTACTCTTATCTGTTCTTCTTCGGTGTTGCTGATGCTTTCTTCATCTGCGGGGTTAGGATCTTCATCGGGCAAAGTAGGGGCATTTGCGGATGCCTCATCTAATACTTCTGCATTTTTTTCCCTACTACCTTCTGACACATTTTCTAACGGCTTCTTCAGAGCAACCATGTAATTTTTCAGCTTGTCTTTAAGCGCCAGCCTTCTAGGCTCGGCAATTGTTGTTTGGTACAGCTTCATTAGTTTTTGAGCTTTCTCTGTCGCGGACTCATCGCTTGATCCAGATCGAGCTTCGAGGCTTGGGGTCGAAGACCCCAAGGGCTTCATTGGACTTTTCGCCCTCAATTGCTCAATATATTTGGTGAGCGGATTTCTACTAGCGGAAGGTAGGGTTGGGTAAAATTTACTGTCATTCCCGTTTGCGGTCGCAGATAACCCAGAAGGCTCAGTTGAAGCCTCACCTGCTTGTACCTCAGTTGTAACTGTTCCATCTTCTTCAGTGTTAACGTCCTGGTCGGTTTGTTCAGACAAATTAAACGGCGTAGCACCAAAATATTCTTTAGCAGCTTCCTCCTTCATGCCTACCACTGGGTCAAATGTTGTACTGTCTTCAGGGGCTTCAGACTTATGCGGTCTGAGCATGCTTCGAAGGTACATTTCCAGTCTTCTCCTCAATATCTTCTTTTGGGCTTCAATATCACGACTAGCAGTTAGAAGACCTGAACCTGGAGGGTCTTCATTCAGGTCTTCAGTAGCTCCCGGTGTAAAGGAGCGATCTTTTTCGAATTTTTCTGGAGAGTACATCTTCTGTCTTCGCTCCTTCAGATCATCCAAATACTTTTCCACCTTTGTTTTATATTGCTTGGTTGCAGGTGTGTGTTCAATTCCTGTCTCGGGTTCAGCATCGCCAACAACTGCTTCCTCTTCCACAGGTGGGTTAGAGTTACTCTCAAGTCCAGTTTCGCTGATTTTGTCATCTTCTTCAAACATAGTGCGTGTTTTCAGCAGGTTGCTGACTGCAACATTTTCGTCGCTCAAAGTCTGTGTTGCGGGAAGTTCTTCTTGGGGCTGGTTTAAGGAATCCTGCTCTGATGGCAAAATACTAAAACGCGAAAGTCCTGCCAGGTGCTTTTCTGAGGCGCGCTTGGTTTCCTCTTGAATATTTTTTACCATTGCCTTTACGTCTTCAATTGCTTTGCTGATTCCTGACATCACTTCAGTTGCACCTTCCACGTTCTGCTTGGCAGCGTGTTGATCTATAATATTTGTTTAAATACATTTTGCAACTTAGAACCATTCTTACCTTCTGCAGTGGGAATGTTCCTGAGACTTAGTGAAGCCATTGGATTGGCTGGGGATGGTGTGGAGGTGAAGATATTTTCGGGGTTGCTGCTGGGAGGTTGGATTGATGTAGCTGGCATATCTTCTCCATCGCCCTTCTTCGGATTAAAAGCTGTGGAACGCTCGGGGTTAGTTTGCTGATAAGTTTTCGCATATTTTGATTTACGTCTTAGTCGTTGGAAGAGATTCGTTTTGGAAAGCTTCATGTCTTTCAGCTTGGTCAAAAGTGATGGCCTGCTGACCGGGGTTGTTGTTTGAGCCACTCCATCCTCATCAGAGTCTTCCGAAATCAGCTCTGCTGGCTGGACAATAAGCTGAGGCATTTTTTTGGTAAAATTATGTTTTGGTTTCTTGTGCGCGTTTACTTACATCTTCATTAGTAGCCCCTACAATGCTTTCTTCGCTTTTTGTTTTATCGGCGTTTTTGTTCACGGTGGTTTCGCCGATTTGCTGCAAACAAAATTTGCAAAAAATTCAGAAAATTTGGTGCTTTGTGAAGCCTATGGGTATTTACGTGATCATTATCATGGCTGCTTCGAGCAAATGGAGGTGGTCCTTCGATTAAATCCGGATTTTCTTTTACATTCGGTTCTAAGCTGCGCAGTTTGGAAAACGTATGCACATCCTCACCGCTATCACTTTAACAGAAGAAAAAATGTGCCGTGGCTCCACATGAGCGTCTTATTTACTTACTAATCGTTAAATCTTGGTTTCAGCACTGCCGAACTCGGTTTTTTCTTCTCAAGATGATAGCGCTGAAAGATCAAGCAGTTTAGGCGATTGTCTCGAAAAGGAAATTTGGAATAGAAGAGACACGACTTCATAGTAAAATGCATTTATTAAATACAGTTAAAACTAACAAGTTTTTGTAAGTTTGGGAATTTTAAGCTCGATTCAATTTACTTGCCATATCTTCAGTTTGCAAGTCATCAGGTTTAGCGGCTTGCTTTTCAGTTGGCTCTTTAACCTCCTCAAATGATTCATGGCTTTCTAGTTGCTGTACTTCTGGAGGCACGTTCGAGGTCGTAGTTGCATAAATGAAAACCTAGATAGGGAAAAGGAAAAATTAGATTCTGCTGAATGTTCGAAAACATCTGAGGCTTTGAGTTAAAATTTATACATACACTTTCAACATCTTCGGGGTTTTTTATTCCAATTATTCGAGAAATTATGTTCTTAAGTTCATGCTTGTAGATACCGACTCGGTGCACTAACGTGGACCGACCTCTTGGTTTCGTTTCTGCAGAGCTCATCCTGCTTGATTCTGGGAAATGCTAAAAACGATTTCCCTATTCAAATATGTCTTTTAATGGTCTTTGGCTCAAATTTGCCTTACCTGTATATCTTCCAATACAAGAGAGTCGCTGACAAAAGCGGGCAGGAAGCCACAATACTTTCTACATTTTTCGCAATGTTTTAGGAGAATGCAGCTTGGGTCTCGGCTGGAAATTCAAGCAACGCGTTTCAGGAATTGAAAAAAATGTCTGCTAAACTGATTTGATTGACTTTTGTAATCAACCAGCTGTAGAAACATTTGGAAGCGGACAATATGGAAAAATGCATTCCGCTCTGCATGTTTAAAGAGTTTAAACACACATTTTCGTTCAAGGCGTGTTTATTTTTGATATGCAAATATTTTTGTTTCCTTCGCCTGCTGCACTATTGAAGCTAGTTTTGATTAATTATTTTTTAGCGGAGTTTTTTGTATTTTTTTAATGCGCAATAGATGTACGTACATGCTTCAATACGTGTAGGTGTGTGTGGTTAGCTAATATGGGTTTGTTTATTCAAAATATTGTATTTTATAAGGTGATTTAATAGTTTCTTTCTGTGGAAAACCTTAATTAGTTATTTTAATCACCACTTACATGTCAATGCTTTTGAGCCACATATTTTTATTTTGCTATTAAATTAACTGTTTGATGTCATTTATCGCACTTTATTATACATATACGGTCGAAAGTAAACTTCTCACTGACCCAATTTTCACGCTGTTTAGCTTCTGAAGTTCCCGATTTTTCTTTTGTTTAAAAAAGTGAAATGGTTCGACTAAAACCATAAGTAGATTTTCCCAGCCAAGGCCACCTACATTTGAGTAAACTTTCCAAAAACATAAAAAAAATAACATCTCTAAAGGTCGCTCTTTTGGATCATCGTGTACTAAATTAGAATATTTTTTTTGATTGGCTATAATCTATTTTATGAACATGTGAAATGAATAGCAAGTGGCTCGCAAAACTAACACGTTGTGCATATGCTAGGCGCTTCTGTTAATTAGAATCCTCGTCGGCAGGTAAATTAACTGACTTTATCAAGTAAACAGGAAAGTACATCAGAAGGTGCCGAGGAAATTGTAATTTTGCCGAATACGCATAAATTTACTCCTATTAGATGCCAGATTCTCCTCAACAGCCACCCGAATGTGAAGTTTAATTATCTTTAGTTTGCCTCCGTATCGACTAAATAAAGGGAAACTGTTCGGTTAGTTTACAGTTTAAACTAGCAGCATCAAATAAATGTATTTGATTTCTACGGTTGAAATGTTATTGATAATTTTAGTAGCTTTAAGTAGCTCTCAAGTGGAAAGAGTTCGAATTACTTACGTGCAGCTTTTACATTTCTCCTCATTCAACTCATCCATTTGCCTTTTTACCAAGGCAAGAGCATGGGGAGCATTTGGTGTTGATCCAGGAAGGGCCTTTCCAACCAAACCGGTAAAACCATCCCTAAAAAATTGAAGACAATTTCCAGCTTCTATTTTCCTCTATAGTTAGCGAGTAACGCAAACAGTGATATTTTGTATGTTCACTTTATGAAAAAGTGTCTGTGTGCATTTAGGATGTTTCATTTAAAAGCTTCCCGTTCTCTTTGAATAAGTCAAATAGCAAGTAGCGAACATTTTCCGTCGTTTAAATCGAGCCTCTAAGACGAAGGGAGAATTAAGGCTGCCAAAATGAACATTAATAACCAAGTTTCATTGTGTTAAGCTCCTGTGTAGCATATATTACAACTGGATCTCACTGCACAGCTTCCATGCTTTAAGCTTCGGCTTTATGCTAGTTTATATTAGACTTTTCCCGGTCCACAACGCCAAATTTATGTGTCGTTATGTATGGTTTTTATTGTGCGAACTTTGCAATTAGCTGGGTTATAAGGAGGAATGGCAAACGCGGTGGAGAGTGTTAGTCGGGCGAAATCTCGACAAAAATGAACAAATGGCTTTTGCAGATTTTTTACAGGGAATTCGAAATTGGAAATCTTCAGTTTCAAAAATTAATTCAAATCAAAATAAGACCCTTTCAGAGGTTGATAAAACGACTATTTTTGCAAAGATGAAGTTTACAGTCGGTTTTTTTTCTTTCCGTACTTTTGGAGCCAAAGTTTGTATTTAGTGTGGATTATTTAAGTAAGTACATTTCAGGATAAAAAAAACTGTTTGGCTTGGAACAAACATTTTTCATGTGTCCAAATTATCGTTCCCTTCTACAGTCTCCATTAGAATTATACGCTCGTTCTTAATTTTCTCTTTTACGAGCCCCTTACTAACATTTTCTCAACGCCTTTGTTAATAACTGTAATAAAACAATTACGTGACTTACTTAGGGCATCGTTTAGTCTTCGAATTTACTGGGGTGTCTGTTTCATCGGTCAGTCTTCCTTCCTCAATGTCCGCAAGGGAAACCATCCCTGCCTGGGGCGAGTTCGTGATTTCCGGCTTAATTCCCTTTTCTCCTGTGTCTCGGCGTTTTCTGCATTTCCTGAAACTGTCATTTTAAACGAATCCGAATAAGGGAAATTCTAAGGAAAAAACGAATCGAATCAATATGTTCGATGTCGGATCAGAGGATTAGAGCTGAGAGCTCAATTTTCCTGCAAAACTCATTTACAATAGAAACTGTGAAATATTCAAATAGGGAAATTTTTGTATTTATAGGCGCTCACATCAAACCGTGGCTCGGGTTGGAAGATTCGGAGAAAATTTGCATGGATATTGGCTTTGCCTAGCATTCATTCTCAATAGCCCGTGTTGGGGGAGGAAGTTAAAAAACCTAGACTTTTCCAACTGTGTCCGGTGCATCGTTTCAAATCACTTACGTGTCAACATTTTGGCTCTCCAACTGATCTGACCACTCGTTAAACAAGCCCAACATGCCACATTGGCAACTGGAGATGAAGAAAACAAGTAAAACTACAATTAAACTGGCGTTCATGATGGGAATTAAGGAACTAATGCGAATTTTAAAACGATTTAAACTAAACTGAAGGTACGCTGATCAACGGCAATCGATAAATCGATTTGGTGCATCAGCAAATTTTGTACCAAATTGGGGACAGTGGATGTTTTGAATTTATGCAAGTTTTTCAAAATTATTAAGGTCACGGGTCAGTGGATTACTAATAGATTTTACATAAGCGGTTTTTCAATAAATCGCTAGCCATTGTTGAATATTTTTATTATTGGCGCCCTAAAAAAAACGAGTTTTAAAGACACCAGAATGTTGTTACAATAAATCCGCTGAACATTTTCGATCTTTCGGGCAAGCCTTTAGTTAGTAAAAATATACATATACAGTATAGTCACCATGCATTTTCACCGTTTTCCCAACTCTCATGTTTCAATATTTCTCCCTTGTTCCAATTGAATTTTTTCACTGCGAACTTCAATTAGGCTTCAAGAGTTTAAGCTCATTGGGTGGAAGCGATTCGAACTTTGTAACTCCAAAACTAACACAGCTTAATCGTTTTCTTCGATTTTTATCAATAATTTCACACATTTTCACATTTTTTAGAAGCCCTAGAAAGACTTTGAATCTGGTTTCCGCAAGAACACGTTTGAAGCAAAATTTTCAACTACAATATCAACTGGGGTCTTAAATTGATCACCGACAGTTCCACTCTTTAAATCTTAACTTTTCATGACATAAAATTCTCAGTTTTTCTACTATTTTTTAATTGACATTTTTAATTACAACACAGTACAAAACAACTTCAAAAAGAAGCATTGTTCACTATATGAATGATAGAAACGAAAAAAATTGACCTACTTAAAAGTTGAAGTAAAAATAATATTCAGAAGACAGAAATCAATAGTTTATTAAACAGATTTGTTTAATGATTTGTGTTACATAACTTTAATAATTGATAAATTATTAAAAATGTTACATCAATTCTTGAAGTTTACACAATGTATTTCAGAGCGCACAATCTAAATGCTCTATTTTCAGTTTTTATTTGTTATGTGTCTTTTAGAATCCCAGCCATCCAATGTTGTTTCATAAATAAATTGTTAACTTTTTTCTGGATTCATTCGAAGTCAATTTTCTTTCGCTTGGACATTAATACTGATCAAATTTTTAGAAATATTTTGCTGCTTTTTTCATTCATGTAGTGAAAAATGTAGTAGTTTTGAAATATCTTGTTTTTAAAATATAATTGCTAATTAAAAAATAGAAAAATAAAAAAATCAGGTTGTTTTCTCTCCCATTGCAACATTTGATGATTTATATTCTTGGAATTTATGTGTTTTTTCTCAAATTCAAACTTTCCAATGTCAATGTCTATCGTCTTAAGTAAAAATAAAGTTTTGAAGAAACCAATTCACTTATTTTAATTTCCTAATTGCAATTTCGATAATTTTTTCGATATCACTTTTTCTTCTTCAGAATTTTACAATCAATTCATTGGAAAATTGTTTCAAAAAGCACTTGTAAAAATAAAGATTACAAATTGGGTTTACATGTAGTACGTACATACGAGAATACACTAAACCGAGGACTAATTCGATCATAAAACATCTTGTTTTAAGCTCCATATTTTATTACCCGGCTCAATTCCTTCTTCTGTGTCTCATAATCTGTTTTTTTCCTAGAAATATTCAACCCTCTGAACTTTTAATGACAACGCTACATAAAATGCGACTATAATATGGTTAATGTACAACACTTAAACTAGATTAAATGAAGAGAAACGGAAAATGTGGCTATAAACTGAGCAGCGATAACAATCAAATTAATTAAAAGATTATACGAGGAATTTGGGAAAGAATGCCGAATTCCAAGTTTTCTTCTCACGCCAACACGCCACAGGTTTAATTCAGCAGGAAATCATTATTGAACATTATGGCTTTGCAGTATTCCATCCTCTTAAGCCATTAACACTTAATTCCTTACTGGTAAACGCCTTTAATGGGTAGAATATGTCACTTAGCCTTATTTATGTTCAAACTCGAGTGCAATTTTAGGTCTAATTCATTCGAAAAATAAATGGCACTTCAAAGAGGTGGTTTTCAAAGAAATTCCTTCATTGGTGCAGAATTTCAAATGTGGCTGGCTCGACGCTCCTGGATATTTCCCTGGAATGTCTGCAAACGGTCTGGAAATTTGAGCGTGAAGACTAATTAAACTTGAAATAATTACTGCTTGTGAACTGATTGCCCATTTGCAGTTTACACCTCAACTGAAAATATTATCTTTTTAGGTAATAAAGTAAATATTGATACTTGAGAGCCAGACACTTCAATATTTAAAGTTTCTATACAGCCACATATTTGTCTTGTTTCGTACAAAAGGTTTTGTCGCAAAATGGAGATTAATTTAAAAGGGGCCGAACAAAGAGACTAGGCAAATGTCCTTTAGCGTAGAAAATGGGGCCTTTCGTTCTCTCAATGGCCACAAAAATGCTGTTTTCATTCCCCAAGCAATTTGTTAGGTACTAAGAACAAGACGGTTTGATCAATAAAATATACGGGGACTGTGGAGTTCCTTGCGCGTCCAAGCAATTCTTCCAGCCGAACGCACAAAAATAATGAGAACATAAAATAACACGGCAAGACAATAGATTTCGGCCAAAATAATAAGCCCCACTATGATTAATGAGAGGAAACCGTGTCGGACGATGATAATTTTTCAGCCAACCGAGTTTTTCTCTTCTCTTTGCTTTCAAAGCGGGCTAATTGAGTTACTTTGCAAGAGTTTCAATTAAATATCTCTTGTGCCCTGTTTTGCGGAAAGAAATTTCGGACATATAAAGGCCGTAATGCTATTAGATAGCGAAAAAAAGTTGTAAATGAGTGCCTGATTGTGGAGGGTTCGTTTTAAGAGCACTATAAACTTTACTGAATGTTTTTTTAATAACGCTGGCCTGTTCAAGGAGATTTTTCGTTAACTAAGCGTGATTAAGGCCATATAATTTATCGACTCAATCGATCTTTCGGCCTGCGTGTGTTTGTACGTGGAACAATTTCTAATAAAATTCCGTCCGTCCGTCACTTTTGATCAGGCACTCGAACATTTCTTTGTGTGTACATTCTTCATGTCTTCAGGTACGGGATTTTGAGTGCGCCATCCTGACAATAATTCAAAATATGCGGTTCTTGACGGCGGGCTTCATAAAATATTGAGAAGGGTCAACTATAGGGATGTTTCCTGCAGCCCTTTGCCATAATTCCTGATTGATGATAACGCCAGACCAAGAGCCAGTAATTTTCAAGCCGCGGTTTTCATGCTTGCTGGTGCTCCTTGGCTATTATTCGCTGGCATGTTTTTGGCATTGAAATTTGGCTGATGGTACATTGARGATAAAAAATTGCTCTTGAATTTCGACTAAATGTTTTCAAACACGAACTTTGTGTTATTATTTTAAAAACGGTTTACTTCACCTATGCGAGTTCTCCTTAGAAAATATTTACTTAGGGGAAAGTATGACAAAATTTCAAACTGTAGGAGCAAACAGAAGTAAAGATCTCGATAAATTTTATGGGATCGAGCAAATACGTTGACACAGTTCACACACAAGGTTTGTGTGATGAAAGCTCTTCGGCTTCCATGTGCAAGTTTATTACATGCGAATGCTGAATTCCTATTTCTTGGGCAAATAAACGCTTTCCTTTCAATAACATATTGGCAAATATGGCTTTTCTTGTTAAAAAAATTGATGCAGGATACGTTCGATCAAAGCTCAATTTGGCTGGAAACATGCGGAAAATGTGTTTGGATTTTTTTCTTTTGAAAATCGTTACTAATTTTGAGTAGGGATCAATTGCGTTGTTTAATCGTCACATTTATCAGAATTCTTGTACTAAAATGATTTTTTGCGTATGCCTTTTCAAGCTTAATTATCTTTGATCTGCAAATATTTTTTTATTTAATGCTCAATACGATGAAGAAGATTAGTTATTAATTCCTACCCCTAGAAAACCTCAAAGTTTATTTAAATTTCGGGGCTGGATAATTTAATGTGTTTTCGCTGTTTAGGACTAAATCAATATAGAATTTCAGGCATTTTGAACAAATTGAGTTTTTTCGCGAAAATAGTAGAATTTTCGATTTTTTCAACCAAAAGTCTACTTTTTGCTGTACGTATTTTAAATGTATATCGTATTTGTACGTTTATTTTGAGCTAAATGTATAACTTTGGACGTAAGAAGCTGCTTGCTATAAAGCATTTCAACCCATAATTAACGTTTTAAATTAAACGAGAGAATAAAAAACTTTTAAGCTCTATTTTTCTGGTTCACTAGCATTGTTTAGTGTATGTTTTAACTTAAACGGCAAAAATTGCATAAAATCTCATCACCGTCATTAAAGAAAAACATTGGTTTTTCCTTCATAATAAATAACAGGTAAATTGCCTTAGAAAAAAATACTAAATTTTATCCGGTTGAAGCATTTTTAGATGTACCAATGGATAAAAAAACACGAAAATAAACAAAAATATTTATTTCATAACTAGCAAATAAAATATCCATTTAAACGTTACTGATATGACTATCGTTATTTAGATTATATCCTCGGTATTCTTAGGCTTTTTACAATATACTTATATAATTCATTGAATATACATCCAATGGCTTGTATTTACATTATTTCATTGCGTTTATATAAATAATTATTACTTATGTACATATGGAACATTGGCAAAACTAATTTTAAATGGAACTTTGCGAAAATTTCAAATCTCAACTGCATTGGTTAATTTTTTCATCAAGTAGATCTTGAGCAAAAATATAAATTATAGTATTTAAACCCATCCGTATTAACTGGACGTATTGAAAATTTACTTTAACAAAAGGGCGCAGTCGTCAGATCGTAATTGTTATTGGCTGCAGTTTTTTTCACATTTTCGTCCATATAGCAGTATAAACTATGAATGGATGGAATATCATTTATTTCCTTAAACTAGACAATTAGGGAACTGCCGAAAAATTATCAAGTATCCACTAAACTAGAAAGCTGGATATGTATTAAGAAAGTCTAAAGTTTCAGGAATAAATCAACTAATTAATTACATTTATATGCCTGTTAAGGCATCTACACTCTCAAAGTGTAACGTGCGCAACATCAGGCTTTTTTCTACTATTCAGGAAATAGTGAACAAAAAGTGGCTGGTCGAAGAAAATTAATTAAAGTTTTTTTATGGACATTGGGAAGGAAAATATTGTGGATGGACATATTACTCATTCGACGCCAATAAAATCCCTTAGGGAGAAATGAAATTGCCTCCGATAAAATAGAAAAACTCATTTAACGATTCCATCGACGTTAAAGAAAAAATACATTTTCTTGTGCCCAAAGCAAACTAAAACATTTTTGGAACATACATGACTAGAGATAATTAAAGACCGGGTGCAAAAAGCACCCACTTCTAAAAAACCCTAAATATTGTGGAAAACAATTTATAAATGATTATGAAATTTTCTAGCAGTTTAAACAATATCCGGTGGAGGATCCCAAGTGAGCATTTGTAAACTCGTCGATTTGTTCAGGCCGGAAGTGGACGGTTTTCCGACATAGCTGGGTATATGTCTTATTGCCCTAGTTTTTAGGCTTCGAGTATATAGTTTCAACACTTGGCAATTGCACGTAACTAGCATGGCAATGAAAATTCCTTGTAGTCCTTGGACGATGTGGAAGGAAATCCAAACTCCATCCGAATTCGTTAGTTTTGACATAGTGGCTAGAGCCAAGCAAATACACAGAACAATCGTTATCTGAAAGAAATAAAAATCAGTTATTTACGAGAAAAAGTGCGTTATTACATAAGCGTGTAAACTGGATCGTAGGGTTGGAAGTAAAGTGTAAATCATTCGACATTCTTTAGTTTTGTTCCTTAAAAATGTCCTCCCAACTAAATAGGTTTGATGCCTTCTCATATCACATTTTCAGCTCTTCAGAACTTAAGCTCTAATTGAGTACAAAAATTAATGATAATAAATTAGCACTTGATTTAATTTCGTTCTCACCAATCGTTCTGTTAACGATATGCAAAAGAGCAAAAATTCAGCAAAACATAACTTCTGGTTCACTTGCCTCGAAGAATTATATTTACATGATTATGTTTATTTATCCCATTAGCGGAGAATACATTTTCCGAGTTCGACTGTTTTTCATTTTGCGTAAAATACATTTACATTGCTCAACACTCCACATATAAATATTCAGGCAAATGAATGATTGTAGCTATACATTATTTTAATCGACGATTATTTGTAAATGGTAAATACAAACAGAATGCACAATATTTTCCATTAATCTTCTAGAAAATTTGACAACAACATCAAAATTATAGGTTCATAAATCTGGTTGGTTTTATTTTCTTGCTGCCGTACACAATTTTTTGGTTGAATTTCAAGTTTGAATAGAACGATAGATTTGTCTGCCGGCTGGTTTCATCGCTGATTAAATTCTTTATCTTGCAAACCGAAATCCACTAATCCGACCGGATGTATAGAGGAAACATATTGGAAAATCACCGAGTTCAGCTCCAGCCATTATCTCGAATTCAAGGCTGAAAGGAAGCTTCATATAGGGGCTTTTGTAGGCCAGTACCTGGTCTTTTATTCCGAAATCCTCATTCGGGTTTTATGGCTCAGATTTTGCTGGCTTCGTTCTCAATACGCCACTAAGGCCCAAATCTACAATTGCGGTATATACCAGGAACAAGCTCTTCGTCGAGTAAGATATACCAGGGATAATCTGTGGTATAATACTATGTGTTGTTCTACAATGCAACGATGGCGCGAGAATAACTGTTCCGAGTACATTGAAATTTTGGGTCTGGCGGTGTCCAAGCCGTAGCGGAACGCTGTCATCGAGATGACTGTAGAATGTTTCAGGTAGTTTTCGAAGGGTTATTTCGAACTTTGATCGTGAATTTAGCTCAAAGTTTATAATAGTATCTCAAAGAAACAGTACCTAAAATAATTCGGCTGGTGTACGTGCTCTATTTTCTTAAGAAATGGATCAAGGTGATAAAAAACGATGCACCAATTTTAGTAAAGATGAAGTGGAAATATTAATGGACCTCGTGGAAACTCACCGACATGTTATTGGTACGTACAATTTAATTTTAATATTATAGAGTAAAACATTGTCTTTTTAGAACGCAAGAAAACAGATACTGTCACTAATGCAGCAAAAGCGGCTGAGTGGCGCACAATAGCCACAACGTTTAACGCTATTTGTGGGACGGGCAGAACTGGGAAGATGTTGCGAAGCAAATGGGATTCGCTCAAAAAATCAACAAAAAAAGAATATGCTGAGCTTAGGAGCCAAGTATATAAAACTGGTGGCGGTCCACTCCCAGATTTGAAATTAACAGGTTTAGGAAAAAGAGTGCTAAATTTAGTTGGTGTCTCTGCTAAGGGTACTGAATGTGAATTTGATTCGGATGCTGGTAAGTGTAGTTTTACGACATTGTAGGTTTAACTTAAATTTCAATTAACTCATTGTTTTCTGTTCTAGCTTTTGTTACCCCAAGCGAATTAGAATCCTTGGAAATTGTTACAGATGTGGATGGATGTTCTGCTGAAGTTGTAGAAATCCCAGTTGCAGATTCGGTAAGTTACTTTTGGTTTTGCAACACCTTATAGTTTATCTTTTGACAACATTGATATGGTGCAGGCTGAGATCAAATGGGACACTTGGAGTCCAGCCCTATTGAGGCAATCAAAACATCCGGCGTTGAATTTGCCTTCAAACCATTCGGCAGAAATTGTAGATGAGAGTCTTACTACTGTAACGCCCAGTGAGTATTTGCAATGTTACTACACGAAATGAAATACTGAATGCGACTTTTACTTCTAGGTAAGCAGCCTCATTTTCGAAAAATGAAGAGGAAACCCGCAGAAAATGGACGAAATACACATATTTATGAAGATCTGGTCCAAAAAAAAATTGATTTTTTAGATTTTCAGAAAAATTTACTACAAAAAGAAGCGCTACAAAAAGAAGAAAGGGAAAAGGAAATGCATGATCTCAAAATCATACATATGAAAGAGGAGCATGCTCTTAAATTGAAAGCGTTAGAATCTCAGATTTTAAATAAATCAACTGAATAATTCACGTTGTACTTTATTATCCAACAGTTATTTATTATCCAACAGCTTTATTCTTGCAGTAAATGTGCAAAATGATTATTTATAATTTTTGACCTCATTCTATTATTGATAGAAATATTTGAATCGGTTGTCGATGACGGTAACTCATCTGAGCCCACATTATCTAAATCCAATTCAAGTGGTGGATCTCCATCCTTTTCTTCAATGCAAATGTTATGCAGAACGGCTGTAGCAACAATAATTATCTTTGATAACTCGGCGTTTACTCAGATTCCTAAGGACAATATGGGAAATCTTCTTTTCCACACACCGTAAGACCTTTCAACACAGTTTCTGGTTCTAATGTGTGATTCGTTATATAGTTTTTCAGCAGCTGTTAAAGGATTTGATAGTGGTGTAAGCAAATAGTTACTGTTTCCATAGCCACTGTCACCCAAAATAACACAATCTGGGATGTCACCATTGCAAAATCTGCTCTTGATTCTGCTGTTATTGAAAATAGTTTGGTCATGGCATGAACCCGGCCACCTTGCCACTATGTCGATTATTTTCAATTGCGCATCGCAAATTGTCTGCACATTCCATGAAAAGAATCCTTTCCTATTACGGAACCGCTCAGCGTCTTCTCCTCCAGGGGACTGGATTTTCACATGCGTGCAGTCAATCGCACCAATGACCATTGGAAATCTGGCAACTCTATAAAAATTTTCCTGTACTTTTTGTTTGGTGGCAATATTTTCGGGAAATCTTATATTCCTCGGACGCAACCGAGCAATAGCCTCTGAAACTTGTTTCACAATTGTACAGGCAGATGTTTTGCTTACTCCTACAAAATCTCCAACTGATATGAGCATGTTTCCAGTGGCATAAAATCTTAAAGTGAGCAATAATTTAGTTGCTGGTAAAATAGCTCGATTCCGTTCTGTCTGAGATTTGAGATCATTTACAATCAAATGCAAAAGGGTCTCACAGGTTTGCTTTTGCATTCGAAACCGGGTAAAAAACTCCAGATCGGTGTATACTATAAAGTAATTGGGTCTGAAACAAATACAATTTTTATCAATATTAACCAATAGATATAGTCCAAGGTATTAGTATTCACTTACCGATTTTTAAAAACTTTAGGTCTCCGAGGTGTTACTGTCAACATGTTATCAAACATATCGTCTTCTTCATCAGAATCAAATACAGACATATTTCTTCCCGCCATCGTAATAAATCAAAACTTCTTAAATTCGTGTAACAAAGTTGTTTGTATATGGAGAAATTGTATGTTATGAAAAGGACGCTCTCACTGACCAATAGAACGAAGGAACAACTTTATCTGCAGTATATCCGGCTCATTTCACTGGTATAAGTTATACCGCCATTTATACCGAGTAGAACGTTATTCGACTATTGGAGAACCCAGTTTTACAAAGATATACCACGAAGAGCTTGTTCCTGGTATATACCGCTATTGTAGATTTGGGCCTAAATATCTGTTCATCTGAAGTAAAATGTAATCTAAAAATTTTCAGCAACATGATGAAACAACAGCCATTTTAAATATAAAAACGTCCTATCGAAACTGATCCACATAATTAAGCTAAAAGGGTTCTAATTAAGCTTTGAGCTTTTATAGTACAAAGCCCGGCTAAATTGCGGGTGGTTGGAAAACTCAATTAAAAAATGCATCGTTAAATATACTCTTCCGGCCGAATACTGCAAGGGAATTAACGAAAATGCAGTCAACAACTCGAATCATCGCATCATACACTCTAATAAGCCAACCAGTTACAGTCAATGTGTAGTTTGCAGATTACTTAACACTTTCCAGCAATTTGAAACAGTTACATTGAAATATTCACTGAAAGGTTGTGGCACGATTTAGTGAAGTAGCAATAGGGAGAGGGAATAGAATAAAATAAAACGCCAGTAAACTTTTCGATTTGTTCTACTGTAATCTATTTTATTTACATCTGCGCTTCTGGAATTCATTCGCTCTTTTTATGGGGGTGCATTTTATGTCTCACCTAGGCCATGTAGAGAGAGATAATTTACGTTTCCGGGCATGCAGGAGTTGGATTCGTCCACATTTTAGAAACTGGTTTCCAAAAAAATAAAATAAAACGCGATAATGTGAAAAACTCTATGCAAAGTGCATGTGAATTTGTTCTATGTTAAATATTTGGCTCTAAACTCGATTAAATCAGTTTGGTTGATATTGCTTAATTGTTTTTATTGCATATTCCTTTATCTACTTATCGTCTTGTTTGAGTGTAATCAAAATAAAATTTGGACGAAATAGTTTTTATTGAGAAAAAGGTCACATCTTGTGCCTTAAAGTCTAAGAAGCCGTTTTCGGCGTTTCGAAATAATTCGAAAGGTTCCTCCTTCAGCTAACAGCTTTTTATATAGACTGCGATCCTTCACTGCAAATAGCTGTCAGCTGGTCATAAAATACCTCTCGAGTGTGTCATTTTTCAAACAGCAAACGTGTTGTTTGCTTTTGCCACGAAAAGTGATTTTTCTTACCTTTCACTGCACATGATTCGCTGGTAGTGTTTGCTGATAAGGGAACTTTTAACCTAAGACTATCAACAGCAAATTTTATTTGTCTGCTAAAATTTGCTTAGCAAAAAACATCTAATAGGATGAATAATAAATTTATTTGTCTATAAGAAACCTATGTATGAACTATTAATATAATATGAAAAATCAGCAGGATTATTCGTAAGAATTGTGAAAATCATTAACATGCGTATCATTACATTATAGTACATACTCATTACATGAGTATAATTGTGTGGAATTTAAAATAATATAATTTGTTTAGTTAATCGGGAACGCAGGAATAAAGTCAGTAAGAAATGTAATAATAAAAATAGCACATTTTGTGAATTATCCATTTTTATGTCTTCTATCCTTGCACGAAGAAACGACAGACGAAAAAGGCGGTTTTATATTTTTTTAATAAATTGAAATGACAGTCACTTGTTAGAGAATATCGCAGTGTTTGATTTGCTTTAACTGAACTTGCTTTGAAAACCGGAACTTGGCCGAATATTAAAGTCTTTATTCTAGTTTTATCCAAATCGCGTTGGCTTTTGTATTCTAACAATTTGCCTTTGCGCCTGAATAAAATCGACTCATATAAAATATACATTGATATACAATATCAAAATAAATAAATTTGTTCAAAATAACACAACGTTTATCTGATATTTAACGACGTAACTCACTGAGACAGTTTGACCTGAAATAAGTTGAGTAAAATATAAGTAGCGTAAGCCTGTAAATTTTACGCATTATAATTTTTCATTGAAATCGGAAATTCTTTCTATTATAAATTTAATAATTAAGCATCTCAAGTTGTCTGACATATTGTACATATTTATTGCCATCCTCTTTTGAAACAAACGCTTCTCCCGTATATCACCTTTTTATTGTTTGTGATGCTTTTACAAAATTTTTGTTTATTTTCTATTTACGAACTATTTTCCCTTGCATAAAATTTAAAAATCATTGATATCAGCTTTTGAAAATATATCTTCGCGTTTAAAACACCAAAGGGGCCACATGTTGCGCTTACTAAGAGGTTTTCTCTTAAATACTTTGCCTCCAACAGAATTAACCGAGGAGAACGAAGAAACAAAAATAATTTTCCATCCATAAAAAAGGTTCACAAAAATCTCACAATATTCTATTGTAATTCAAAAACAGCTTTTCTGCATCTATTCTAACAAGGCACTTTCTCTCTATTTTAATGCTTTATCGTCCAATTTCTGCTTTAAACAATCAAAATGTAAATTGGCAATTCCTGCTCCAAGTAATAAAACAAGCGCAGACGCTAATTACATTTAGATTAAAAAAATGCCGTAAAACATCCTCCTAGGCACTATTGTGTTTTCGCTTGATGGCGAATGGAATATGTGAAAATGTGCTTAACGATGGAATGCAATTAAACTGGAAGCAAACGTTTTTTACTTATATGCCCGTTATTTCAAACTATACAGCAGTTATTAAATAAAATAAAATAAAATACAACTGAAGCGGATGTTTGGAGTTTAGCAATTAATAAACAGTCATTAGTTCCGCAATTTTATGTGGTATGATACACATGGTATTATTTGTGCTTTTGCTTTTTAATTTGTTGAGCACCTGTGCGTAAAATTATAAAATTAAAATTTATTTGTGAATGTTTGTTTCAATTAACTCGGTTTGGGGCAGGTTGTGTAATTGTTCCAGGTACTATGGCTCGAAATATATGCCTACAGACTGATTGATTTTGCTCTAAAGATATAATGTAAGATGTAAGTAAATTGCCAAAGTTCCAACTCCCAACCACTTGCAGCGATATCGGAAATAAACAAGTGGAAGTTTTGGGTGCACAGTTCGCTCTCGAAGAGAATTTAATTAATTAAAAGTTTCTTCGTTATTAAATGAAGTCCGGTAAACCAGTTTAAGAAAAAGCTTCGTTGACTTGATTATAATTCCTCCGTCGTACCTCGCGATAAATTTCTTTTTAAAGAACTGCAGGACAATTAGCGAACGTGTTTTAATTAGTGCGCATTTCGTTAAGTCAGAGATTTTTTCAGTACGTAACGAAAAGGTTTCCATTTTTCTGCTAGCGTATTCCGGTTTGCCACAATTCTCTCTATAAATTGGGTGCAAGATTTCAGGAGCGCTAATTGAAAATTATCCCAACATCCATGTTTACATGGCAGGCACGTAGTTTGGTAGAATTTAACATTCAGCCTGAAACAGCAACGTCTCACCTCTATCTGAGCACCTGCAGTTTAGTTGCATTAGCGTGTATCCTTGGCACAACATAAATTTAATTACTTACAGCTTCCTGAATGAGAAAGGAAACTTCTAGGAGGATAAAATAGCGTTTGAGATAAAACGAAATCAACTGGCTGCCATTTGAAGGCCCAAAACACGAAAGAATTCACGTTAGGCAATTCCTTTCGAAAGGAAACTGTGAATCCATCGAAATGTGGATTTGTATTCAGGGTAAGTAGAGAATAGGAACGATACTTGATCTGCATACAAAAAGGCTGGGTGATGTAGGGAGTTCGGCTATGGACAAGTTATGAATTCAACACCTTGTACGTGATCCTGATTTTTTTCTAATTGTGGCTTCTTTATCGATGCACTTCAGTTTTTATGGCAAAGCTATTTAACTGGCTCTTCCATGTGCAGCAAATGAGCTGAATCGACCTCAATCCTTCAAAGTCTATTTGCAATTTCAAGCAGCATTTGAGCACATGTGCCTAATGAATTTATGGGGGTGTCAAAGATATGCCTGGTATCTTCAAGGAGGTCGTTAAAAAGTCATTACCGAATCTCTGTTTCCAATGTAGAACATTAAAAGGCACTATTCAACTTTGCGAAAAGCGGCAGGTGAATGGCATTACTCCGTGTCCCTAAAAGCCACTTTCTCGTTATCAACTTCACATTAGTGTCACGCGGATACCATATAGAGTAAATTAGGGTGAAAGGCGGCTTGATCCCGTGGGAGTTGCAGGTCGGGACCACAAGAGGACTTTTCACCTTTACTGATTCGGCAGCGAGAGTTTAGACGCTAAATACTAGAGCTTTTAGAGGGTTTTTATTTGTTAAACCCGCCATTTTCAGTAGGATTTTTGTTCAATGTTAGCTTTTGAATAACTTAGGCCATCCTAGAACCTTCAGGGGTTAGACCGAATATTGCTGATAACAGTGTAACATTTCAGTGTCTCGATATAATTTTTTCAACCAATTTTAACAAAAAATTTGCCAAATTTGTTAAAAATAGTCAACAATTCTAAATGACTTCAGTTGTTATAGTCGGAAACACAACTGTGATTATTTGATCAAAATGTGACTCGCTTCCCTCATCGGTCTTATACAAAAACATTTTCAGTTTTACGGATACATTTAAAGTATTTTAGTAAATATCATCGCAATTAGATAATTTGTTTAGTGAACGCAAGTTACAAAGCAATTCTCACATCTAAACAAGGTGTTAGAGTTACTAATAAGTTGAGCGGATTTTTGAAATTTAAAAATATGCAAGACATTTATTAAGCGAAACTATGCGAAAGGTGCTCTTATTTTTTGTATTTTGGAAAATGATTGAAATATGACCTCATTTGCTCAATGCGCGTTAAAGGCGTATTAGAAAAGTTCCTTCCTTTATATGTCTGAGATCTTACATAAGCGGATTTAAATGATAAATTAAGCGGAATTTTAAAACTCAATGATGTGCAAAACATTTATTCAGTATAAGTAAGTGCAAGAACTTCTCTTACGTACAAAATGTTTGTATTCCATTACTTGCACAATGCGCTTTAAAGGCGTGTTAGAAAACTCCTTACATTCATCTGTCTGATCTATTACATAATTTTATTTTAATAATAAACTTGCCGGATTTTTGAAATTTAAAATAAAAAAAAAACGAAATTACACTTTGAGTTAAATTACAAAGTAAGTAGTAGTTATTCTGATTATACAATGAAATATCCGAATTGGAACTTTGAAAGGGCATTTTTTTTGATAAATTTCTGCGAGAATTGATATAAAACAAGTCGATTACACGGCTTCTGGAAATCAGTACTGAACAAGATTATTCTGCTTGTATATTCAGTGTAATCTAGAATTGAGACTGAAGAAAGAAGACAAGAATCTTCCTAATTGTTCCAAGTTTCACTGCGGCCATTAAGCGATAAATTTAGGTTGCTAATAAACACCGACATCACTTTTAACTTTCACACAAGGCAAAATTTTCAAACAGGACGAAAAAAGTTTGTAGGTGCTATTTAGAAAAGTGATTTTTTGACTGTTTTTATATCAATGTTTGTGCTATATGTTATATGCTACAAAAGGGACACTTTAGAGTCATATGGGGAGTTAGCTGGGGCTATCAGCTTCCAAATTCGGGTTTCGATTTTAAAACTGCTAATTTGATTGTTTCGTAAACACCAGTCTTGGCAGTTTTTTCTTTAACAATTGATAAATATCAAAAGCTATAAGAGATAAGTTAACAAAACTAGGGTTACCCAAACTCGCAATTGGAGGGCCCATCAAACCATGCTAAATAAATATAAAACTAAGAAAGTCAGGTTACAGCTTTTGTACACTCGTTATGACCGGAAACAAAACTTTCGACACAACTGCAAGTTGGAAAACTAATGCACAGTCTACGTAAATCCCCCTGTATACGTTTGAGGCAGTAATAAAAAATTAAACGAATTAAAGATATATATTTAGTCCCGTAGTTCTATAAATATGAAATCAATACTCACCTTACTAAAAAGTATTATTTGAATAGCGCTTTTCCGTCGCATTTTGTCTCGTAATCGATTGTCCGGTTGAAACCCTACGAGGTATTTGGACAAAACAGCTGTCCGGAATAAATAGAAGAATGTCATCAGAGCCATCAGGTAACCGGGAATGACCAGGCTGGAGATAAAGGCGTTCTTGTCCAGAAACCTGCCAATAAAACACCTGAATTAATATTCTAAGTAAAATGCAGTAAACATGAGGATCGAGCTTTGGTAACGAATTTCCAACTAATCGAGTGGATGGAAAATGTATATAGCGCGAAGAGCTGTAATACATCAGTCAAAAATATGAGGAAAATTTACATTTTAATAGAGCACTTAACGTATGATGATTTATTAGAAAGCGCTAATAATGTGAATGCAGGGAAATTTTCCGAAGCACATACACATTTATAAAATAAATTTCCTAGAGCTGCAAACGATATTCAATCAAGCAAAGTAGCAAATAAGTTGACTCGAAAAGTTCTGTTCCATTTTCTGCGCTTGATTAGCGAAGAATTTCAAAAACGACATAAAAGTCTATCTGAAGGGAAACGCTCTATAATTATGCTAAATGAGGATATAACTCAAACGACTAGCTAATAAAACTTGCGGCAATTCGAAAGGCGATTGTTCACTTTTAAATGAATTTCCTAATCGCGGTAATTTCGGAGAAGCGAAAAGTTCCTTTTGGATTCTTGTTTTCAGAGATTAATCACTTGGTCATACGAAAATCGCTCTCAATTACCTTAATTTGACCTATTTTTATTTGAACCAGTTTCATAAAGTTATAGACAAACATATCTTTTTTATTTTTGCAAATCCAGAAAATTATTGTTGTTTTTAAATTATTGTTCAAGCATTAGCGTTGATGGATTGACTTGCATAATCCGGGTAAAGCGGTAATGTCCCAATTACTAGTTAAATCATGCGCTAATTAAATTGAAATTCTCTCAAATCATTGGCATTTAATCAGGTTTATTGAGCACACAGGACTCATAATGTGGCAGAATGCTCGTAATTCTGTCAACATGTGCTGGAGATGGAACACAACCGCTGGAAATGAGACTATAATTAACAAAACCAACTATGATTTATTGAAAATTGCCCATCCATTCGGTCAGTATTAAATTGGTTTTTTGGGGCAATATTTTTGAAAATGCCGACAGCTTGATGCAAATTTGAGATTATCTGGAAGCCGCTTGCTTCTTTAGCATTTGGTAGCAAATAACAGCTTTGTAGAATGGATGAAGTAAACCGAATATTGTGGATAAATTATGCATACGATGCAAATCGGTTTGGCTTGTCAGGCCTCGATACTTTGCGAGAGCGTATCGGTCTAATCTTCTCAACCTTTTTGGCGAAATACTAAATCTAAAAGGAAATATTTTAGCTTCAGGGTAAAGAGCAAAAAGGACTGAATCGGGTGTGCTTCAATTTTTTATCCCTTTTCTTTGCTACACGAGGTAATTTGCTTTCGCACTTATTTACACTTAAAAAATGAATTTGTTAACGTTGACAATTTCCAGACGAAGTCGGATTCAATTATTTTGTGTATTTCCTGCTTTTAAAACAATTCTTTACTGCGTCTGAAGTTGAAGAAATTTAAATATATTACCTTACAAGTATAAATATTGCAAATACATTCGTGAATAGCCGGAATTTATAGAACATAAATCGTTAGACATTGTTCACGTTTCCATTCCAGGCAAAACCTTGCTCATTAATTACACCTAAAAACTGGCGAACTATTTATTTAACCGAATGACACAAAAACCGCACAAAACATTTAAAGCGCGCCAACTAATCCTGCATCTAAGCGTCTAAATAAATACTTTATAAATTGAAATTTGCAAACTATTGAAAAATGGCTTTTTGTATGTGACATAAAGCCTAGCTTTGAAACAATGTAGGCTGGCAGAGTTGTCCATAAAAACCGGTGGCTTAATAGTAAATTGACATTAACACTAGTGTTCGTATGGAATTGTTCGGAACTTTTAATCAACAATGTCAGAGCCGATGATAAATTGTTTTGAAGTCGGTGCAAAACTAGAACTTTTGAGAATTGGCATTGGAATAATTTATCTTCGCTCCATAAATCCTCCAGTCAACTTTTGAAATATCAGTTTAGTAATTGAAAATGACGCCGATGTGGATAAGCGTATAGAGATGCCATTAAGATAGATGCGAAAAGTGTTTTGTTCGAAATGGAATTTTTTTATTGAATTACCGTTTCATATCGAGCCATACTATTAATATTTGTTTAGTTTCTGTTATGACAATAGGATATTCTTACCAGCAATTCTGCCTTCTGAGGTCTTGAGTGTCGAGCAACATTCCACGTTTATCACAGTATTGGATTAAGATGCTTGCCAGCAGGAATACTAATGGCAATCCCCATCCTAGAAGGGAATATCTGAAACAACGTTTCATTTTATAATCACATTTGCTTAAAAAATTACTAAAATTAGCCGAGCGGAATTGCCTCTTTTTCTTGATTAATAATTTAATGCCAAATTCATCAACTTTTTCAAGCCCGAGCTTCAGGTAGCGAGAAACTTAATATTCATAAACTAAGGTGCGTTTTTTGCGTGAAGGTTATTGATTAGTCTGGCTGGAGTCTAGACGCTTGATAAGCCTAATATATTAAATTTTCCCAAACTTTCTAAATATTTACTCACGCAGGTGGGATGTTTACATAATCAATCTTTTTGTTTTTATTAATGCATATTCTGCTAGTAAAAGGAAACAAGTAACATCAATTGAAACACTCGATACTTTTTTAACAGTCGCATATAAGGAGGTCAAAATACAAATTTCGGAAGTAGTTTTCTCTAAACAGCATGAGGTGAACATTTTTTAAGTGGCGCCCTCAGGCAAAAGCTGGATTAGAATCTTGAGTTTTCTATGAAATGCGTTGTTAATTTTTTAACGCTTAATAATAAATTTTTCACAAATCCTTGGAGGTTTGCTCGAAAATCAATATGATGTTAAAATAGCGCGAATTTTACTTTGCTAGAGAAGAATGTATTGAAATATTGTCAGCTTGTGCAAAGCAAGCAAACATGTTTGATAGAAGAATTTATAATTAAAATATTTTGAATTGTAGACAACGGCGTGTTATAGAAATTCCGGAAGGGAAATGATCTAAAGGTGAATTCTGGTGCATATTTGCGTTAGTTCTGCAAGAGCAAACGAAAAATTGATGCTTTTTTAAGCCTTAGAGCTGATTAAACTTATTGCCTTGTGCTTTCTTGCCCTCAAAGGTTATACGACGTATTACAGTCTTCAACTTTTAAGCTACAAAAATTATATTTATCTTGGGTACACTTTCAATAAAAAGCGTCGTAGCAGACCAACTTCACACCTTTTTTAAATTAAGTTGAACATTTTTAATGCAATTACCGCGAAAGTTTAACTTTTTTGATTGCACACCAAAATATGTCCGGAATAAACGACTACTTCCACAGGTTTATCAACGCTTCTAATATGCAAACTGCTTATTATCTAAGACTTGTATTTGAACTACAAAATCCCAATTTGTCTTGCAAATATTGACATTGTTCAACTTCGCCATTATGTAGTTTGTAAATGGGTAAACAGTACCCTATTGGATCCTACAGGGATTTGAACTTAAAACGAAAATTTTCGGAACAGGTTTTTATCGCAAACAAAGACTCCATTATTCAGTTTTCCGTGAAAGGAATTTAAATCCTTTGAAATTAAGTGAAATTTTCAGTTCAGTCAGCACGGAAACTAATTTATAAGAGGGCTGTTGTTTAATTTGCGCCATACAAAGGGCGTTAATCAGTTTGCTTATTTTTTTGAGGGCTGTATGTTTTACCAATTAAAACTGAGTTAAGAGGAATATGTTAGAGGATTTATCTAGAAGATGCTTAGAGAAAAATAATTAAATATGACGCGAATTGCTAGATTTGCCTAGTTTGTTGCGTAAAATATTCCTGAGAAATAGTGTTCATAATTTCACATTTTAAAATTCATTACCTTTAGTCAACGTTCTTCCAATAACGCAAAAGTACAGCAAAAGTTAATTTGCATAAAGGGCATTATTTAACAGCAACGACTGAACTCAGTTGAAATCAGTAGCAAATTTAAATCTGGTAAGAACTAATGAAAGTTTGTGTTCCTTCCAAACTATTGCATTTATTTAATAAAAATCACGTGTAAATATTCTCTCTCAATCTAACTACAGCTGAATATTTGTAAGTATCATAGTATCTGTTGTCTGAAATAATATTTTTAGTAACCTCAGGTTGTTTCACATGAACCAACCAGCAGAGTTAATAATACCAATTTATTGACCTTCGCACATTCTACCGGCAACAAACAAAGCAAATGAGCTTCAAGTTCAAAGCGCAAATTGGATATCGTGTCATGGCAGTCGGTTGTCTCTGATTAGCTAAAATCGGCATTTGTTTAACTAAGTCTTCTTGATTGATGTGCTTGCACAAAGAACGTGTTAAAGTGTTAGAGTTTTCACTAAAACCCAAAACGATTTTTTAACATCCACCAGTTGAATTGGATTCAGCAAATACAGGTATGTATAAAAGGCTTTATTTCTCATACAGACCGATTAGATCAGAAATGATCTACGAATATTTGTTAGCTTTCTAATGCTGAATAACAACATTCAGCTGTTTCCTAATTTATGTGCCATAGATTTCGCGGCGGCCTTCAAACCAAGAATCAGCTGTTGCTAAAAACAAACAAATATTATCTAGAGTATTTATGTTTTGTAGGTGTTAATGCTATGTTGTAGATAATGAGCATCATTTTCGATAAACCTGCCTAATCAAGCACATGTTTTTAAACTTATTGCGCCGATCACAGCTGCTTATGGTGTGAGCAAATATTTTTTCGAATGCTGAATTGCATCGAATCGAGGTAAGGAAATAGTTGCAGATTTCAATGCTTTGTAATGATAGATCCTTATTGAACAACTACGTTTTCATTGTCGTCACATATGATTTCTAATGTATGTATCGGGATGTTTTCGTTATTTGAAATTTGATGTCTAACATGAAGTCTATTTATGGATTGAAGGCTAATTCTGGTCGAATCACAATAAATGTAATCGTTTTTCAACATTTAGAATAAAGCATCTGTGGAAATTTCTTGGATTTTTAGCGGGTGGTGATTTATTAAGCTACGGAAAAATAAGAATATATCCAATGCTACAGAAAAGGGGGGAGTATATTAATGACCGAATTATCCGATATCTATCATCTAGGAAGCATATCTTATCATTTAGGTATAAATATTGAATGTATTTCCCCGGGTTCCAGAATTATTGAAATTTTACCGGGAAACATTGAGCGATAAACAGTTAATTTATTTTACCAACATATATTTTATTTTGTATCACCTTTGTGTCTGCCATTATTTTCACTTATTGATTTCGCATTTAACTTTCGTTAGTTTATTTGCAACTTCGTCAAATTTGAAGGTCTTATAGATATTGCGTTGGTGGTAAAATGACTTCATTTTCGCTTGCCGTGAAAAAGTTTACATACTTTTATAAATCGCTAGTTTTTTATTGTTTGATTCTCGTGGTTAGTAGTTCATTCTTTACTAGTAAATGCGTTTCTCTTACCAATAGTTGTTTTGTATGGCTTAGGTTAGTATTAATTTTGATCCTTTCATGACTCGTGATGAATAGCTTTTTTAGATAAATTGATTACATTTTTATCACCTTTTTATTGCTAATATTTTGAATCGTATTCTGTTTTATTATAATAATATTCACTTTTTGGATTGTGATTATAAGTTCAAATGTTGTCTTTCTATCTAAATCTAATTTAGATGCGCAATTGGATCTGCAATTTTTTTATTTTTTTCTGGTTCTTCATTATTTTTATTAGATCAGAAACGGATAGTATGGAAAGTATAGCCATTAACACTAATCAAATGTTTATTCATGCAATCATTTTATATGAACGTTTTCAAAATTTTATACAATTGTGTTGCGTTCTTAATTCGCTTTTGTTCGTCTAGTTTCTGAAAAATTAATGCTGTTTCGAAATCAGCGGTAGAATTGTGTTTTCTTTAAATACACTTCTTGCAATATTTAATATGTATTTTTATTGCCGCAGCTTCAACTTCAGATTATTTGAAAATCAGAAATATATTTAGATCAATAWMGGTGTTTATTTATCTGAARAAGAAGGAAATAGCTTAACTCTAGTGATGCAAAAAACAGGTAGAAACTCACAGAAATATGTAAAATGGCTTTTTCTGTACATTGAATTTCTAATGYTAGATTTTTAAGTGAAAAAAATTAATGTTGGGCAAGTTAAAAAAAAWCCAGTTTGTTAAAWTGAAATATTTGTTGGAACGAATTCAAATTGTTCAATAGTAGATGATAAATTATATATCCATAAAATTGTATGGATGAGCTTAAAATTCGTTGGGTTTTTAGCAGTATGGGTTTCAATCCAAATTAGTAGGCATTTTTAGCTATTTATTTATTATAGTATTTAAGTGTTGGCCAGTTGTGGAAAGTAAAGAAAGTTTAGACCAATAATATGAAAAATATGAAATAAAAACAACCCAAACAGTCTAATAGAGGCAAAAATGATTCTGAAATAGCAAAGTATAAAGTCTCACTATCTGTACGAAATGGCAAAATATGCTCGAAAACATATGGACTAGAGAGCTAACCGCGAAATATGATAAGTGGAAATATCAAACATTTCTACGCATTTGCTTAAAATAATAAGATAAAAAGTTGGCATGAATTTTCATATCATTAAATGATTGTCCTAAAATAGCATTTCAGTTTTACTTTGACTATGTGCAACAAATAATAATGAAATTTTTGGAATTAGCAGTGCAAGTACGGAGCAGGAAATCTGCAAGTCTATAAGCTTCACAGAAGTAACTTTACGCAAACAACGACGCTTTTGATCTAAAGGGCTAAAAAATTAATAAAAAATTCCACCTCCCCCCAGTCAGCTCCTAGTCATGCAAAAACCTCAGATTTTCAAATCCATTTGAATTCAAAAATCCTTTTGTTATCATTGTTATGAAATAACTATTATTATAAAAGGACATGCTTCGCCTGTTATCTTTCACACTAACCAGAACCATGTTTTAATGTTTCAACTATTTTATGTGTAATTTTCTCTATGGGTTTGAAAATTGTAGCAAAAAGTAAATCTTGGTCAAACTGCCGTCGGTTGAACTGGCAGAAATGGGTTTCAAGCTCAGTTTAGAGATTCCGGTGTTTTTCTCCGCATTGGCTTTTATGTTAACAGGTAAGTCTGCAGCTTAAAATCTGACTAAAAAATTATCTGTGTTGCTTTCAGTCAGTGTTAATAGCAACCTTCTAATTTATAGAACATGCTATGTTCTTTTGCACCATAATCAATCGAATTGTGCAAAGTTGGGGTTTGTCAATGATAATGCGACGGAAACTTTGGAAAAGCTAGTAGAGCCAACGGCCACGTATATTCAACTAGTACGAACCATAGTTGAGTCTGCTTTTGGATCGGTTCTTTGTCTAGTTGTGGCTCCATGGAGTGACCGATTCGGTAGAAAGCCTGTCATTGTAGTCGCATTTGTAGGTTTGTATGGAGCAGTGAAAGTGCGGCGAAAAACATTTGCAAAATCTGTGGAATTCTAGGTGGTACCATTTCCTTACTGCTCCATATAGTATTTGCGGCTGTAGATACTTTAACTCCTTGGTTCATGCTAGTCATATCAGTTCCTATTATCCTAACTGGAGGTGGTGTCAGTTTTTTCACTGTTGTATCCGCCTATTTATCGGACTCAACCACACCAGAAGAAAGAGGCCTAAGGTTTCATTCCACCAATTCATTCATATTTCTAACTTAACACGTTGATTTGTGTAGGATGGGAATTCTGGATGTGGTGATGGCCTTGGCATCTTTAATAGGCAACACTTCCAGTTCCTACATTTTGATTGCTACCAACTATTTCATAGTGTATTGCATTGCAACAGCTTGCCAACTTGTTGCGTTGGGGTATGCCATATTTTTCGTTCCCGAATCTCTTCCGGAGCGTGAAACTAAAGTAAGTTTCTTAAGCAACTGTGTGTATTTTTAATTTGATTCATTAACTGCCGGCTTGTTTCAGAACCCGATTGCAGGGATTTTCAGCAAATCGAACATTATCCAAATGCTCAAAACTCCCTTTATTCAAAGAGAGGGCTCGAAACGCACTCTCCTACTCCTTATAATGATTTCCATGCTTCTGGGATTCACCTCGACTGGATCGGGGCAGTTATTTTTCTTTTTCGTTCGGGAAAAGTTACAGTGGACATTGACCAAGTTCACTTGGTATGGAACTGTTGTTAATATATTGGGCTTATTTGGTAAGAGCGGAAAAAATAGAAATTTGAATAAATGTGATAAATATGTCTGGTTTCAGCCACCGCTGTTGTAGTGTATTTGTTTCACACAGTGCTAAAAATTAAGGAAACTGTGCTGATTTTTGTTGGCTCGCTGTTTTCAGTGGTTTCCCTAATTACACTTGGTTTGGCTCTAAAGGACTGGCAGGTATATCTAGGTAAGAAAATGCGAAAGTCCAAGAAATGAGTGTCCTGTGTTTAGTTGCTGTAATAATTAGATTAATTTTACAGGGGCAATTTTAAATTTGCCCTCATATGGCCAGGGTGCCCTAATGAGGTCTCTGATCTCCAAACTAGTACACGAAGAAGAAGTAGCGAAAATCCTATCGGCTTTCAACATTGGCTCAAACGTTTTGAACCCATTGAGCTCGATCGGATATACTGCCTTGTATAATGCGACTATCAATACAGACGCAGGATTATACAATTTTGTTACAGCTGGTATTGTCTTTGGTTGCTCGATCATATTCATGTAAGATCCTGAGTTCTTAGTAAGTTTCACGGGTTTAACACTGATTATTCCAGGTTTGCTCTGATAGTTCAGCGAAAGGCAAGTATAGAGGAATATGATGTGTTGGAAAGTGACGAAAATAGTAGTGAGCCAGAGAATGTTATAGCTAACGAAATAAATTCCACGTAAAAATTGCAAATTTCCAAAGTTTTCCGAATCATCTGTGATTTATTACAATGTGATATCTATATGAAAATTATCGACTTAGGCAATGCTATAATCAATAAGTTGTTTTTTCAATTTTTTTACCTGAAATACATGTTTGGTGTCCAGTTTCCTAAAAGTTCTTCCTAATTGATAATTTCCTCTTCTCTATCCGACGGTAGACAAACGAATTCTGTAGATCAAATTGATCTTGAATCGACACGAAAAAAGCGGCAAAAAATTTGCGCCAACTTTGCCGAAGTCAATAAAAATTTATATTCACTCAAAGTTAAGAACTATTTTAACTTGTCTAAAAACTGAAGTTCGAAACAATACAACCACTTGAAACTCAACAATGTAAATTTCTATTGCAATTAATTCTATTAATATTTGCTCATGCACATTTAGTTATATTTTCTTCTGCAATGCTTCTTGAGCTTCCAACACAATGAATAGATAAGGTTCATTCCGCACCATAGTGCGAATTAATTTCATCAACCGACGCATGGCGACTTTACAGAGCAGGGATTTTTAAGAAGCATTGGGATATGCGGATGATATCGCAATTGTTGTACAAGGAAATTTTCGACACATTGATGCCGCAGGAGCTAAAGACCACAGCACAATGGTGCTAAAGAGTCCAAACTAATACAAAATTACTGCAAATTAGCTCATCAAAAGCCCTTTTATCGCTATTACCAAGCAAATAAGTCTTAGCGCCCGTCAAACATCCACCATCTACCTACGGGAGGACTAAAAATACTACTACCGCAGCAATAAAAAAAACATTCTGCTTTTCATCAGTCCGGACTGATTAGTTGACAATATATTTTACCCTTACATGCATATAGCAAAGGCAAACTCTCACAGAATCAGCTTTGACTATTCCTGAAATATGCTCAATATCTCTTTGAATTTTGAAGCCAATTTTCATTATTTTATTAGAGTAACTCTAAGCTTATTCTTATGACAGACAATGATATTCATCGTTCGGCACAAATGAACTCTGAAATGGAAGTTCATTAAATATTAACACCCACTTTAAAAACTGAAAGCGTCTCGGTCTTGTCCTCTATAAAATTTCATTAATGGGTCCCTCGATTCCAGACGAATCAATGGCATTGCCTTACCTTGACTGAAATTACAATGAGGTTGTTCGATTTACCCCCGGGAGACTTAATTACACTAGATTAAATCATAAATTGATCGAATTTTTATTTTAATTTTTGGGAAATAAAATACAGATTCCCAGCAATCAATTATTTAGACCGTGGATTTACTTGATCGAGTTCCTTGTGCGAAAATAGCTTTTAAAATGTGTCATTTTAATCCTGTGTAAAAGCATGGCTTTGATCGGTGGTTGATATTTAATTAGCATTTCACAAGGCGGTTTTAATGCGAACATTAAACGGTAAACTTTGTAAAAATTGAATTTCAGCAAAAAAATGCTTTCAAGACTTATTTGGTATTCCAATTAACTTTTTTATTGGGGCTCAAGTTCGGATCGTGCTATGAATACTGAATTAATTGCCAGGGTAAATCTGAATTTTGAAATTAATTAAAACTTTATGTTGTTCGTTAAAGCGTTTTTTTTTTAACTGGGTCGTATATTTAAGACATGCTAAGCAATCAATTTGCTTTAATTTTCGCGACTCACCTTATAAAATTCCGGCTAATATTTGTGTCCGTAATTGGAACAAGATGAAGGCCAGTTTTGTACTGCATGTACATATTGTGGGTCATAAGCAGCATCCATGAAAACACACAGAGGCGGACATAATGTAGAGCGGACGCCAGAGCAATGCAGAGCTCCGAATCCTGAAACACAACACATTTGTTATTCGAATGCAATGCGCTTTTCCCGCATGGATTTCTTGACTATCTGCTAAAACAAAATTTGCTTGTTTTCGTCATTATATTAATGGAAGTCGCATTTCAGCAAAAAAAGGGACTTTCGGTGGCTTTTGAATGTAAATGTGTGTAAGCACCCAGATAAAACATGGAACTTGGCTCAGTTTGAAGCTGGTGAGTTATTCGGGATTTAAGGCCGAAATTGTTTTCCACAGTGGCCTAAAAGACCAACCTCTTTTGATATTAGCATAGTTTTATAGCAAAACTGAGTCTGACGCCTTGCAATTTTTTTAATTACATTTTTTTAATGCTTTTATGTGTCGTTTTATGAGATACATTCAAAAATAGCACCGAGGTAAATCCAATCGTCAGCGAAAATAACAAAGAAGAACCGAAAAATTAGAATAACATAACAATAGCAACTTTTTTTCAAATTACAAACATTCAGTAGCAATCTTTAAAAGTTGCAAACTCTGCGTAGACTCTGGAAAATCTGGAACGCGATCTACATCTGAAGAGGTATTATTGAAAATATTTTAATTTTGAAATACCTGTCGATTTTAGTTGATTTATTGATAGACTTGTGAAATCATCCGTAAAATCTAGAGTATAATAAGAAGGTATCGTTAATTACAAAAGTTTTAGGCAAGACCTTTTATAAATTTCACACGACAAAAAATTGAAAAAAATTAAAACTAGCAAATAAATATTAATAAAAGGAACTAAGGGTAGATGTATAAATATAACTTTATCAAACATTTCTAGCAAAACGTCGCTAAATCATGTAGATTTACAACATGGATAGAATACTTTTAAGAATAAGGATATTGTTGCGTACGTAAAAAATGATGGGAACGGTAGAAAAATGCTTAAAATAAAAGTAAGAAAACTGAAAATAGTAAAAGCAGATCGAGAAAAGTAAAGACCAATGAAAATGGGAATGCTTGTTAAAGTAAAGTTCATCAAACTATAGAGGAGTTATTAAAATAAGATACGTGAATAGTGAAAACCGGTGCTTAGTAAATATAAAAATAGATGTTGGAAGTTGAAAACTCGACAACTCGACGAGCAAAATACGAAATTGACACAGCAAGTGAAAAAGTGCAGAAAAAATTATAAAACCATAGAAATAACCGCAGGTGTCGAAAAGAATAAAGCTATAGAGATTTGGTTTCTCATGTCGTAAAAAAATAGGTTAAAACGTTGAAAGGAAATTGATTTTTAGAGGTGGCTATTGGAGGTGAACAGTATTTCAGAGTTTTTGAATTAAGGTTTGTAAATAAACGAGAAATTCATTGAAATTGAATTACAGCCATACATTCGACACTTTCTATGATTTTTTTAAATTTTAACACACGTTGACCAGAAAAAGTTACTTTTTTTGGCTTTAACGGCATTTCCATATGAAAATCAAGCCAAGAAACGTTAACTAAACTGAACAACGTGCTTAGCATAAACAGCAAATAAATGAGCAATTAATTGCAATGAGGTATAAGACGGCACTTCTTTGTCTTCTTCTTCGATACTTCAACCGCTTTGTTTTGCGCTTACCAGGTTACCAGAAAAGGTGCCCTTTGTTAATTGGTTTAAGCGGCAGCTCCGAAGTAAAATGAAGGCCAGAAAATTGAGAGAAAATACGACTAAACTGAACAATATGCTTTCCAATGCGATTCTTAGCTTAATTTAACAAATTACATACACACTTTAAGAAAAAATACCAACGAAAGTAGCAGTGAATAAACTTAAGTATTCGGTAATAAAAATTATCAACATATTTCAATATCTGGGAAATAAATTGAATAGTTTTGGATCAAAATATCGATGTAAAATTTTCTGCTTTCGATCTTTTCAAACAAAATAATAGATAATGGAACTCTTATCTATAAAGAAAATTTAGTAAATGAAATTCAGTCACAATCTAAAAAATGTAATTAAATAATTTAAAAAAATGCAGGAAACTGCAGAAAATGCAGCATTAAATAAAACCCGCGTTGCAGCATATACATACAAATTTATTCGCTCTCCCAGCATCTGGCGATTTGTTAAGTTTCATATTTTCGGCATCTATGCTCTTATTGTTTAATTTTTTGGGGTTAAAAAACGTTCCTCTTCATTTTCCTCACCAACGTTGTATCGTTTTAAGCATCAAACCCCGCGTTGCCAAAACATTTTGAAAAAAATATTGACACTTTAGTTCTACGTTTAGTACTTTACTTCCAAATATAACAAAGCTAAAATTTAGATGGCAGTTAATTCTCTAGAACGAATTGTCCAACTAACTGTTGCAAACGTGGTTCGAAAACAATTTAATTTCCCGCTTATGGCAAATATTGCGTCAATTGCAGAATTAGCGCTCCAAACACGGGAAGCAGTAATTCGGTTGCTAACTTTTACATTGCAACCGACGCGTCTTAAGCAGATTACTTCAAAAGGAGGGATCCAACATTTATAGATTAAGACACGGTAGTTGATAATCAACTTACTTGTGAAATGTCCCGGTAAAGCGAGTGAAATTTTATACATAAACCTGTATAATTTATATTTCATAGCCAAAGAAAAACATAGTTAATCCCCATACTCTTCAAATGAGGAGCTCGAGAGCGGCCTAAAAAGGCCAAAAGCCCTTGAGATGGCGTTCTAAATATTCCTCAGAGCCAAGATAAAATTCTAAAATATCGTTTTACATTTTTTTGTTCTTCTGTGAGGCCTTTGCCGATATATTCGCTGCGTTAAAACAATATTTCTCACTTTCCATAGCGGCCCAGTCTGAACGATCCAGCCCCTAAATCATAACTCATTTTTATTCTTCCCCATATGGACCGTGCTTTTACTGGCTAACAGTACAATATATTACGGATTTTGGGATAGAGTGGGATTTTATCGTCTTTAATGCCTCTGTGCCATCGAAACATATGAATAGAATACACCGCATTGTCCTGATTTATTTTTTCACAATTCATCTGGGGAACTTAGGGGTTGCTTTATGTTGTCAACATTGCTTTATATTTAAAAAAAATCTGCTTTATTCTGAGAAAGTTTTTTTCAATCTAATACACTGGCCAACTTTATACTGTTAATGTTTCACTGGCTGGGTGTGTTTTGGATTCAACTCAATCAGTTTTATGGCGCTATAAACCACACCCTTGCGTTTACTAGGGCATTTTGACCCAAAATTGTTAAAATTATGAGCGGAAAATGCCCCTAAAAACCAAACGTTTACTTCAAATTGCTGGTAGAATGGGGTTTCTGAACACTGTTAGGTTTTTATGAAGAAAAGCATGTTATGCGATTTAAAAAAACTTGTTCAGGTTCGTTCAAACGTTCAAAAATTAATTGAGAGAGTTTAAGTAAGACAAGGTTGTACTGCTAATATAACTGATAGAATGAAACTAAACATGTAAATTAATATTTAAACCGACATATTAAATTATGTTCTTCATCGAATAAAATTAGGTCTGATAATTGCACTTTCTAGAAAATTGAAGCCGTACATACCAACAAAAATTTCTTCAAATCAAAACTAATATTATAACTTAGATATTAGCGTTAAGAAGAGAAGAAATGTCTTGAATTGTGCATGACTTGAAGCCCAAACTGTTATTATTCCATGCACCAAAACATCTCAGAGCTTCTTGGCTCTCAGGAATAAATAATCGCTTGCTTCGGTAAGAGGTTGTAGCCTGTTTTCGGCTGAAAAATTGTTCACTTATATTTATTGGGGCTCCTCTTGAAGAATTGAGGATCATGCCAATAGATCTTTGTCACCAGAAATTTAACCAATACTTTATTTTTGACTTCAGCTAGTTAAACGTGTGTGCAGCAAAACTTGGAAACTTTGTAAACTGTTCAACAAAATGAACCTTACACGGCCAAATTTGGCATAATTTATGTGGTGTTGAAATACAAAAAATGGTTTTTGTCCAACTGAGAACACGTGGAACTTTTACCAATTATGCATTGCTTCATTTGGCACTCTGTAGAAACTTTATCTGAAGCACAATTTTTGGAAGAAACACACTAACGGAAAGGTAATTGCAGTAAATAACACTTCAAACTGAAATAGAATTGTTCACAGCAACCAGAGTTGGCTCACATCTGTCTGTGCAACGTTGATTTTGCTGAGCAGTTTCAATTAATTTTTTTAAATTTATATAAAAAAAGCAAAATTTCCTGTGATATTTAAGCTGAGCATTTCAAACACCCACTCATAATCAGCTTCAGTTCCATTTAGTTTCTTTGGGACGTAAACAATCTTGCCTCATCTTCCACTTTATATCAAGCAATAACTCTGAGCGCTCGGTCAGAAAAATGCCAATTAACCAACTTTTAAAAGTATAGTGCCAGAGGAAAATTTTATAAAAGAACTGAATCGTATGAAAGATATATTTTCAAGGTGGAAACATTCAGAAAGTCATTTACTGGCTGACTCCAAACTTTAGAAGATTTTACTTAGAACTGAAGGACTTATTTTGCATTTTAATAAAAGGAAAGAGTGAATCGAAAAAGTCCCAGTTCTTTTTTTTATCTCACATAAAGGATATTGTATTATGATTGCATTTGTGCTTGGGTTCAGTAAAACACAATAATAGAAACAAGTAGCTATAGACCTTCAGGAGATCGACTAGATCTTGTCTGCAATTACAGGCAATATTCTCAATTAAATTACGGGGTATCCACTCCTTTAAGCTTCATCAACTTGAGCCTAATATTTCAACTATGTAATGGCGTAATAATTACCACTTTAACCCTTAACAATGTCTTACAGGAATAATTATGTCGATCCTTCATCATGTAGCAATCAAGCGGCGCGCCTTCCCGGAAACATCGAAGCTAATTTCATTATAACGTACTCTATGTGATTCGGATATAACTTGTATCCCTCATGGCTATTCTGTCATGGAAAAATATAATTATCTCTTAGAAAAAAATGACCACTCAAATAATGCAAGGAGGATACAATAAAAACA